GTTTCTACGTATTTATGGTACTTGTGACGTGCTACAGCATAGCATCAGCCCATATATTGACATCTGCCTACGTGAACTACCCTTCAGCCATTTGCAAAAAAATGCTCAATCACGCCCTAGACAGCGTGTGTACTTACAACTATGAGTCGACAGGTAAGAATATTGCATAACAATAAATATCCAGGTAGAAATGTCAAAGCCGTGACTTCGGGGGGTGAAAGGGGTTGTTGGTAATGAGACCTAGCGGCACGTGAATTTACAGGGTACAGAGGAATAACATTTGATCCTCAGGAATGGCAACGCATGGGGGGTATCATGTGCGAAACAGTATACTCTGTTATGTCTATGGTACTGCTCATGCCTATAGACGACGGTTACCACTTTCCATCAGGTGGGCCGTCAGCTTGTTTGCCATTCTAAGTTGTATATAAAAAAAGGAACCATTGCTAGCCTACCCTGTGAATTTTACCCTGTGAAGTCAACCTCCACACGGTCTCCTCTGGAAACCATCGTGGTTATTTCCTGGCGAATTCCTCACTATGTATCGACTGACCTGGACTCACTAGTACCCCACTAGTGAATACCAATAGCGCAAGCGTGGCATTTTTCCATTTTCATTCCCATTAAAAAAAACCGTGAATTCAATAATGATGTCTACGTTGGCGCGCTGACGGCTCGCGTCCTATTAAGCTACATTCCCACTATAATACCAGTCACAATTCATTCGTGGTCAGTTAATATATTTATATCTGTACAGTGTATACACAAATCATATGTGTATTCATATCTGTACAGTCCAGTTCCATTACAAACATGATCAAGCTCAATCTTTCTACTAAGACCGAGAACTAATCGTGACTCGTGTTTAAATGTGAATCTAGCCTTAGTAAATTAGTCAGGACTTGCGAGCAAAGCAACATACTTGGCAATGAATCTTCTGTGATGAGATTATATTTGTGTTCGACTTGTGCTCTAATTTCTCAATTTAAAAGACAGTGTATATCGCTGTCTTTTAAACTGAAAAATTAGTACTAGTATAAATAGATTTGTAGGACATTATAATTTTTATGAATAAGAGGAATAGTGATTATTTCATTGATTTTTTAAATAAGTTTAAAAAGAAGACAGTACTCTAAAATCATGCAATTGATGCTAACCTGTTATTGTTAGTATATTTACTATACTAATAATAATACTATTACTTCTAGATATTGTTAATACATCATTGTTGTTACAAATAAGAACTATTTTTATTTCAGAATTACTTCATGAAACATTTTCAAAGGAAGTGGACACAACAAGTTGGGAGTATGTGGAAAAAGTCCTCGACGTATGCTGCTTAAGACCATGCACATTGTCTGAATTATTGTCAGCATGCCCAATACACTAAATATAGAACACAATGTTCGTAATTCAAAAAATTACTGGTAAATTCTTTTTTTTTTTTTTAAAAAAAAGCAAATATTGACTGTATTCTGAAATATTCATTATTGAACGTTACTGTTCAAAAATTGTATCACCTAAAGTGCTCCCACAAAAATGCTACAATAACAAAAATCGAGATTTGTTATAAATAAAAAAAAAAAAAAGAAAAAACATAAAAAGCTAAAGAAGAGCAATATTTAGATATAACACAGGTGATAATAGTTTAGTCATAAATGTCAAAAAAGAAATGCAACCATGATGTAAACGAAAATGATACATATAGTGCGATAATAGAATACAGCATTCGCTAATTTTCTATGCAACTCGTTCTTTGATTTGATGTAGTAGAAGAAGCAAAAATAAATAGGATGGATGTCGAAATTCATAAATATCAGATAGAATGATAAACAATGTAAAAAAGTGGAGGGATTATAACATTACAGATACTTATATATACAACACATCTATCTCCCAATATAGTGGATAGAAACAATAAAATGTCAAATGTTTCCATTCAAAGAGGCCCCTTGCTCTCTCCAAATTTATCAATCCATTCATACAAACTCCGAGATAACGGTACCGCATGTTTACGCCTTTTTCAACATGTCACCTATCGTATATACGTCTGGCTGAGGCAATCTCTTTCTGACAACATTTCAATTCATTCTCGTCATACTAACTCGATGTAGTTTATTTTTTAATGGGTGATAATGGTATGGTAACCCCGTCTGCGCTATCGGTATACAATGGCGGGGCACCAGTGATAGATGACTAATGAGGATGAAAGCAGGTTAGCAAATCCTGACGAATTCTACTAGAATTAGCCACGATGGTTTCCAGGGGAAACCACGTGGAGGTCGACCTGACAGGGTATATTGCTAGTAATGGGGCTATTTGACCTCCATTACTAACAATCCCTTTCCCCCCAACTCGATGTAGTCATCCTGGGTAGTTTGGTCATAGTCAAAGAGGGGATGGTATTATTTGAAGTAGTCTTGTCATAATATAGTCTCATGACCTCTATTGAATATATATTTTTTATATGCTTTCTACTTTACATTTTGCTTTTACTGTTAATGTGAGAGGAATTCTCACACTTTCATTTCTTGTATCCAAAACATTTAAATATATAAATTCTAAAAACATTTAAATATCATATATTTCCGTTGCACTAAGTCCACCGATTATATTAATCGCAGGTCATGATATCGTCACAGTCGCATAATTCTTATAGTATTAAAATAAACAATGAGTCATATCAAGACTGTTGCAAATCGTCAACTCAATTTAAGCTCATAATTAATTCTTATTTATATAAATAAAATTGAAGCCCATTTTTTTATAAACAAAAATAAACGCTATTCGTTGGTAAAAGCATTACTTGAAAATAACTCAATGCTATTTTATTTTAATATTCATAATAGTTTGGTAAAGCTTTTTAGAGGGAAAAATATAGTTGCACAAGAAGTCTGTTTAGTGAACTGGTTACATATATGCTTAAAGGCTAGTTACAAATACAATACTCTACTTAAATTACAAGAAAAAAATAAATAGGCGTACTTAATAGATAAATTGTTTTCTATTTTGCACGCTATTAATCGTCTTTATTACATACGTAAAGGAATATTTACACTGATGTATCATTTATTTATCACAATTAAAGATCCCGTTGAAACTGGACCTAAGACTTTATGCCCTTATGGATCTTAGCTTGATAGCGGCCACTAATTGCAATAACAAATTAATTATACGTTTAAGAACAATTTAAACATAATGTTTTCTCTTTTATTATAAATATGTAATATTATGTATTAAAAAAATGTTTGTCAACGAATGTGTTCCATATGAAGATGTAAAAAACACAGCAGGCAAATAGACGTTATAAAAAACCCAGAAACAAAAACAAAGTTGTAAAATTAAAAATATACAGGCTAAATAATAATATATGGTATCCTAATTAAAATTATTCATGGCAAACTTGTGTTTTTCTTCATCCCATAATATTTAACTGAGATGATTGTTTGTTCGTATTTAATTTATATTATATGTATAGCTATTTAACATTGTTTGGAATGGCACAGTGGATTTCGTTTTCCAATAAAGTTTTTGTTATGCAGTATATTAATTAACGTAATCCATTCCTTAAAACTAGTGTTTATATTCATTAATAGGATCTTTTAATTGTTATTTACTTAAAAAAAAATACTTATTTCACCAAAAAAATTAAAAATAAATTAATTAAAATTTTCAATAAGGACAACCTATACCTACATCAAAGGCACTACATCATAATAGATCTGTGCATAACTTGTACTGTGTAGTGCCGTTGGTTTTTCGAAAATTTTGAGTTTTTTAGTTTAGTAATATAAAACTTTTTCTACATAAAAAAAATGTTTTTGAGACCCTATTAATGAATAATAAATACAAATTTTTGTATGTTAATATTCGTATGTTAATGAACGTAATCTATTCTGGGTTACGTTAATTAAAATTTAAACACACTTCTACACAGCAGGTTAGCTTATACAGATAAGCTAACTTGCTGTGTATTCTCAGCATAGATGGGCTACCGCTTCCTTTCCTGTAGGTGTCATAAAAAGAGACTAAGGGAATTTAATGGTCGAGGAATGGACAACAGCGTCTCTCTTGAAATATCACCAAAACCTAACTGCAATTGTCAATCTACCTGCCAAGCGTGGCAACTACTGGCAAACCCCTTAATGGGGGAGGTATATATTCAACAGTAAACAGTTAATAAAAGATATGATAATAACCAACTAACCAGAAACAGCAGAAAGAAACGTTAAATCATCTTCACTGGCACTTTTTTAAGATTAATGTTTCAATTGTTAAGCAGCTAAGTTATTTTATCCTCTAGAATAGGTGCTACCTGGTTATCACAGTATATTGTGATGGCTAATAGTGGCAATTACTGGCAAACCCCTTAATAGGGGGAGGTCTATATTCAACAGTGAACAGTTAATAAAAGATATGATAATAACCAACTAACTAACCAGAAACAGCAGAAAGAAACGTTAAATCATCTTCACTGGCACTTTTTTAAGATTAATGTTTCGATTGCTAAGCAGCTAAGTTATTTTATCCTCTAGAATAGGTGCTACCTGGTTATTACAGTATATTGTGATGGCTAATACTATTACGTGGGTGGCAACTTCTTTACTATTCCAATCTGTATGAAAAATAATTAAAAACAACGACAATTAGCAACATATTGCAAGTGTACTAACAAACACCAAACATTTTTTTTTTTTATTTTATATATTGTACATTTAAGGCAAAAGCGAATACACTATGGTCCCGCGAGTTCAATCTTAAACATCATCATTACTTACCTTCGGGTGGAATCGACGTTAAAATCTTATTAATATAATAAATGAGAAAGTTTGTAATGATGTATAAATGGATGCTTGTTACTCTTTCACGCAAAAATAACTGAACAGATTTTTATTAAATTTAGTACACGGTTACAATATATTCTTACTCAGCACGTAATAATTTAAGTACTTATTCACGCGAACGAAGCCACGGGATACAACTAGTATACAAATAAACAGTTAATATTCTTAGCTATTTATTGACTCATAATTATTTACATTACAAACTAAACTATAAAAGTCCCTCCATTTCCCTCATAAATTGCATGTAAGCGTCGTCTTTAGTCGGCGCCTGTTTGGGCACGTCCGCTGGTCTTTGCAAGGCAGACTTTACACCAGGTTTGACTTTCTTGTCCTCCCGTTTAACTCGTAACGCTGAAGGTACAAATCTAGTGACATCAGCAGAAAGATTCCTGATTTGTGGCTTTGCACTGATAGTGGCTCCTGTAATAAAAGTAATAAGATAAATAAGCTATATACAAAATTTTGATAGGCAGAGATTAGTTCTCATTATGATTCTTTATACTATATGTTAATTAATATAAAAGATTAAATATAGTTAATGGCGTGCGGTCCCAGCGTAGAACAGGCCAGCCGTTCTTACCCTTGGATGTCTAAGAGACGACTAAGGAAACATAATGCTCGAGGTAGGAGCATCCCTCTTAACATCACCAAAGCCTAACTGCGATGGCCAGCCCACCTGCCAAGCATGGCAACTACTGGCAACACCGCCCTTATGGTGGAGGCTTATGTTCAGCAGTAGACGATTACCAGCTGGTATAAACCCACGTTTGTAATAAAAAAATTTACAAATAAAATGTGACCTCCATTTCATATTTTTTCTACACTCATTCATTATAAAATTTTAATAACAAATACACTAGTTATTTATTGTAAAATTTTGAGAATAAATAAATTTTTAAACTTATAATTAGTAATAGCCAGAAATGATAAAGATTTCCCTGATAATGAATTTTCGTTATAACGGAAATAATCGAATCATAAAACGTTTACCTTGCGAACCATCCTTCTTCGGTATAAGTTGAGGGGCCGCTGTAAGCACTGATAGTTGCGGCATAGGCTTCGGGGGCGGTGGTGGCTGCAGCGGACGGAGAAGCCGCGGGGGCGCCCCTGGAGGCGGCCCTGGCGGCCGCAGCAATGCTCGTGGGGGAAGCCCTGGCGGTGGTCCAGGCGGCGCTGGCGGTCGCATCGCCGGGCGACCGGGTGGCGGGCCGAGAGGTGCTCGAAGTGGTGGACGGAGACCTAATTAATGATTGGATTTGGTACACCTTATAACAAACAACTCGAACAAAACCATATATAATAAATTTGCAAATCAGCAAAATATATTTGACAATATCTACAGAAATAGTATAAAAGTAATATTTACTGACAATCACTAGGAAATTCCTTCATTAGTTAAAAAAATAAATCAAGTTTTTACGGTATTATCATACCAGTAATTCCTAATACGACAACAATAAAAAAGGCTAAACAGTTTTATTTTGGCATTCTCTACATCACAGTTAATGTTATTATTCAAATAGATTTAATGTACAAAATATTTTTCTTGGAATTGTAATTTAGTCAAGCACTAATAATATCATTATAATTGCCTCCTTTAAACGCTATAATATTATTTTTCTATTTTTTTTTTATGATAGTATTACTTAGAATGCCAAACCAGCTAACGATCCACCTAATGAACAGTGTTAACTATCGCCTACACACATCAATACTAACATGGACTTCACAGAATATATTGAGTAACCTAACAGTCCTCTTTTATTGTCATTCCTGAACAATTTAAAGATATTGTAAGCATAAATACAATATTTACCTGGTGGCATAAGAGGAGGTGGCATTTGCCTCATTTCTACGCCAGGTGGTTCGAGGTACTCCTGAAGTTGAGGATTAGGAGGCATCATGGTCTCATTGTCACTATCAGAATCGCTGTCACGAGCAACGCCAGGTGCAGGGCCACTACGCTTCAATGCACTTAACCTGAATAGAATAAAAATATAGAATAAATAAGTGAAAATTAATTACACTAATACCCCAAGGGCTTATTACAAACTTTTAAAATTTAGACAGATTTAAGTCACGTGAATACAAACTTTGTATTGTTTGTTTTTTTTTTTTCTATATTTTTAATGGCAGTTTGCAGGAAAGTTCAATAAGACCTATAAGGCCAGATACCCACTATAATGCGGATCTCGTTTTTCGCTCTCGGTATAGTCTATAGAAACAGTTCAGGATTGATCGGAACGTGATTGGATTATAATGTAAATACACACACATTGTTTTTTACGTAATAATATTTTGATATACCGGGATCGGAGCGTCAGCTAACCGATACCGAGTATTATAGTAGAGAAAAAACAAAATTATCAGGTCTTAAGCACTCTCATATTAAGCCCTCTAGTCAAATCAACAACAAATCTAACTTGATATCCATCAAATTCTTTTTGACTGAATAATTTTGATGCAAACAAAACTCAAAGCCACACCATACTAAAAAGTTTATAATTAGCAATAAGATGTAGTCTATTTTAGTACATTTTAAAGTTAACTAAGTTTAACTGAAATTATCACAGTAACACTATCTGAAACACACTAAAATTATTATTAATCAATTTTTTGGATATCACTGTATATGGTCAAGTCAATTATTCTTTTGTTTACATTTTAATTAAATTCAATTGTAATATCACGATTATTATTCAACATCCTTATTAGTAGCTGTGTAGTAACTACAACTAATACAATTCTAAAAAGAATAGGCAGAAATGACCTCAGTTACAAAAAGAAAAATGAAAATCGTATTTTAATATCTTATATAAATAATATGCCATATTAAAAACTCTAAATGAGTCGTATTTGAACCTATACCATCTTTATTTAAGCCAGTGTTCAATCTTACCACTTGACTTACCCCACTTTTAGTTTTATTTATCTGTACAGAGAATTAATAAAAAAAATAATAATACCTGGCGTTCAAATCTGCCGCTCTATCTCTTTCCCTCTTCTTGTGTACTTCCTCCATCTCTTTCATAAAGTCATCTATATTTTGTCCGGATAATGCCAGCATTCTCTGCTGAAGAGAAGTAGGCTTGGGTGCTGCGGGGGGGACCAGCGACGGGACACCTGGTGGACTCGCCGGGCGATCATCCTCTATCGCTTCCCCATCAAAGTTGTTCATTGACGGGACTGAATTTTGTGGCACTGTGCTAAGGGGAGCCTGTAAGAATATAAACAACGATTGCATTCTTAATAAATGAAAATATATTTTTAATTAAAACTTATTATTAAACATCATTTGGAAGACTAATGTTGATGACTTCGGTCCTATACAGCGTATGATCGTAGGATCTCATAATCTAAATGTAATAATCAAATTCTTTAGGAAACATTTTAGGTTTCACTAGTTGCACCCTAAGAATGAAATCATTAATCAATTGATCCTGATAAAGCTAAATAAATAATTATCGATTAAAAATTCAAATTTTTCCTACAATCTGAACAATTTAATCAGTACTTCAGAATCCGTTTTTCGTTTTTCGTTCGTTTATCCGAATTTGTCAAATTACAATTTTTTTTATACCACAAAGATGGCAATTGAGCGTACAGATAGTCCAATGTACGCTACAGTTGGCGACCCTAAAAAAACTTAGTATACCCTATTTGAAGAACCCCATATTGTATTCAGAACCCCGTATTGTATTCTCTAAGGAAAACCTTGGCAGGGAGCTAATACTACAGCTCATACTCATACTAGTACTCATACTACGGGAGAAAATTCCTTTGAAACCGTACTCTACGTAACGATTTAGGTGCAAGCGTGTGAGGATGAATTCCCTGTCGATGTCAAGCGATGCGGTGATAAAAGGTGGCTGTGGGCGTCATTTCAAACGATTCTTAAGAATAAAATGCATTATATAAGTGGTAGAACAAAATAAAAAAAGAAGAGCATGATTTTAGAAAACATATACATATATTTTCAACCATATTTCTGGTATAAAATACAAAAGGAATTATTATCGCCATTTCTACTAAAGTGCAATCTTTTTATAGTACTCGTACAAGTACCAAATATCCGTCGTTTTAATAATAAATAATAATAAGAAAAAATGTTTCCAATAGATGACGACAGGGGACATAATTTTTTCTTATCGGGATAAAATTACCTATCTCTCAAATTGAAGCAAACAAAACACATTTACAAAACTTCATTAAAATTGATTGAGTGATTTCGATAATGAGCGTCGACTAACACAGGGACACGACATTTCATTAAAAAGGAATTGTAAATAAATACTTGTAATGAATATTTTGTATATAAAACAAATAAGAACAAAAATACAACTTACAGCTTCGCCTGGCGGTCCCTCGTCAGCCATATCAGAGAATCGGATGTTCTTTTTCTCTTTCATGAACTCCACTTTAGACCGGTAGTCCTTCTTAGTGGATAACGGATCATTCTTAGCGGCTTCGAGGAGGAGCAATTGGAAGTCGGCAGGCGGACCGGGCGGAACTCCTGGAGGCTCTAAGCCAGATGGTCTGTCCTGAGATAGAATATTATTCCTTAAAAAATTACGATATAACTTATAATACATACACACATTGAGGTATTTATAATTGTTATCCAGAGGGAAGCTGTTACTGGTACTTTTTAATTGATGATATTGGTGAAAGTCGACTTGACAAAGTATATTGCTAGTAATGGGACTTGTAGTCCGCATTACTAGCAATCTCTTTCCTCGCCCTATCTATATATATACATGTACTCTCAGATATATTTTTGCATGTAGTTGAAGGCTCCACACAAATTTTGGTGTGGTACCAGAAATTCTAGGGTCCACCCGGCTCGCTTTTAAATACGCCTATGCATATACACATACTGATATGATGGAAATATACTTATTATAATTGTATTACCTAAATATTTATAGTTTGAATAAATGTACTTTTATTATTATACAAACAGAAGACAACTCCCAATACTCTGAAAAAATATATTTGCAAGCATAACACTTGCAATTAAGGGTGAGTAACATACAGCAATACCTATACATTGTATATATATATATATATATATATATATATATATATATGTCTACGCACATAAGGAGAAATAAAGCACATAATGTTCTCCGTATAGCAACACCAGACAAGTCGTTGCTATTCACCCCGTGAATACCGGAGAGATGGAACATTCAAGTCTTTATAAAAAAAAAAAAAAACTAATGGCTTTCAAGAGAGTAGGTAGATGTGTGTACACGGAACAGTTTTCAAGTTATTTTTATATAATATAAAATTTACAGTCTTAACTATTTGTATATCTATTCATTAATAAATATAATAAATCAAGAATAAAAATTTATTCACGCCTCGAAAAAGGGAAAAGATTGGTGATCGAAACAAATTGGTGACCCCGACGTGATTTCAACTTTACAAATTTACAAGTTTATCAAGTGGCAAAAATCTCCATCATCAACACTATATGTTATTCGAAGATTTGAAACAATAATCACAGGGAAGTAAGCCCAATCATTGTAATAAATTCCTATCCATTCCTTTTTTGTGTGGGTAGAAGTTGACAATTAAAAGTACGGATATATTTTTAGTTTAACTATTAATATTTCATTTTATATTGTATGTGGAGGTTTTTAGTACGATATAACGATCACTAAAATCATATTTAAATTCACGCCGGTGTTTTTTATCGGGTATTCAGAGAGGTTTCAACAAATATATTTGTAGCTACTTTTGATTTACTAAGTTCTATAACATATTAACTTGGAGCTGTTTTCAATGTGTGAATTACTTCAGTATAAGTCAGTACCTATTGATTCATTGTTTGCACTTTAATAATGGCAGACTATAAAGATTTAGTAAAACAACGGAGCACAATTAGAGCTCAATTAACATTGTTTGAAAAATATTTACGACCATTACTGGAAACTCGAGAAATAAATAAGGTTAGGATTCATGAATTAAACTTAAGGCTAGTAAAAACTCGTGAACTATCATATAACTTTGATAAGGTGCAGACAGACATTGAGAAGTGGGTATTGGATGAAGATTTAGATAAACAAATTGAGGAACGCGAACAAACAGAAAATAAATTCTTTTCTTTAATTGCTGAAGCTGAAGCTCTGTTAGAATATTACAATAATGAAAACCAATCTGAAACTTCATCTGCCAACACTCAGTCTGCCTTAAATCTGAAGCTACCTCCATTACATATTTTAAGATTCGACGGACAGACCAGCATGTGGATAACCTTCAGGGATACCTTTCTGTCTTTGATTCATGAGAATGGAAGTATTCAAGAAGTTGCTAAGTTTCACTATTTGAAGTCCTATCTAGATGGCGCTGCCAGTGACGTTATTAGTTCTATCGCTGTTTCTGCAGCTAATTATCGAATTGCTTGGAACTTATTATGTGATAGGTACAATAATAAACGTATATTAATTAATGAGCATTTAAAAGCGATATTTTCAATCGAACCTTTGTCTAAGGAATCAGATAAGGGTATTCGTTGTTTAATTGATGCATTTTCTAAAAATTTAAGCGCATTAAATAGTTTAGAAGAGCCGACCGATTCATGGGACACGATTATTATATACATAGCAGTTAGTAAATTAGACAGTATTACAGCGGGTAAATGGGAAGAATTTAGAAGCAATAAGGAATCACCTACTTTACAAAATTTTTATACATTTTTACGTCAAAGGGCAACAGTTTTAGAGACAGTCAATGCTAATAGATCAAATAAAAATGAAAAACGCAACAATATGGTTAAATCTAAATCATTTATTATTTCCTCAAAGACATCTCCTGATTTTTCTTGCACAGTTTGTGGTTTAAAACACAAGTTGTTTGACTGCAGTATGTTTAAATCGTTACCAATAGAAGAACGTATTGCTAAGGTTTCTGCCGGTCGTCTATGTAAGAATTGTTTCCGAGGCGGCCATCGATCATTCCAGTGCAAAATGAGCGGCTGTAGAATCTGCAAAGGAAACACAACTTTAAACATTACTAAATTAATAGATATCACAATACATTCTACAGTGAACACCTTTAGCATTCCGATACGATGTTATGTCTTACCTCATATCACAGATTCCTTACCTCACAAATCAATATGTATTAATGGGTTAGGTATTCCAAATAATATACAACTTGCAGATCCTAAGTTTTATCAATCATCAGAAATTGATATTCTTTTGGGAGCTGATGTTTTTTGGGAGTTGCTAGATAATTCAAAAATAAAACTAGGTCCTAAATTACCTATCCTTCAAAAAACTCAATTAGGCTGGATTGTAACCGGTCCTATTAGCGGAGGTAGTTCAAATAGTCATGTTATCAAATGCCATTTTTCTCAAGAGATATATAAACAACTAGCTATGTTCTGGGAATTAGAAGAAATACCTAATAATCCTAAATCTCTTGATGACAATTATTGTGAGAGGTTCTTTCGAGAAACTACTAAACGAGATGACAATGGAAGATTTTGTGTACAAATTCCACTTAAAGAATCACCACAAGTGTTAGGTGATTCATACAACGTTGCACTTAAAAGGTTTAAACAAATGGAAAGAAAGTTTAAACGCGATTCTTCTTTCCATCGAAATTATAGTAATTTTATATATGAGTACAAAGAGTTAGGGCATCTTGATGAAATATCCGATCATGAAAAATTAGGCTATTATCTTCCGCATCATGCAGTAATCCGAGAGAGTAGTAGTACCACAAAATTACGTGTGGTTTTCGATGCATCGTCAAAAACGTCATCTGGAAAATCCTTAAATGATATTCAATATGTAGGTCCAGTAGTACAGAACGATTTACTATCTATCTTAATACGCTATAGACAACACAAATTCGTTATCACAGGAGATATTGAAAAAATGTATAGGCAAATTCTTGTCGACCCTAATCAGCGCAGTTTGCAAAAAATTTTATGGCGTGATAACGAACAGCAACCAATTAAAACATTTCAATTAAACACCGTAACCTATGGTACCGCTTCTGCACCATTTCTCAGTACCAGGTGCCTCATTCAATTGTCATTGGAATGCACTGATCCTATTATAGCAAGGTTATTGAAGGAAGATTTTTATGTAGATGATTTTTTATCGGGTGCTGAGACTGAATATGAGTTAAAAAATATAGTTAACTCTGTAACTACTATTCTAGCCTCTGCTTGCTTTCCGCTTCGTAAATTCCGAACGAACGCCCCATCTATATTTGATGATAATCCTGACACCTTGACACCCAAAGACTTAGATGTGAATGCTCGAACTAGTGCTTTAGGTCTTAAGTGGGATCCACGAAGTGATACTCTTGAGTTTTCTTTAAATATTAATACACAAGAGAGGATTACTAAAAGATCAATCCTGTCCAACTCAGCTAAATTATTTGACCCCTTAGGTCTATTAGGACTTTGTACTATCATTCCAAAAATGATTTTACAAAAAATATGGTTGAGCAAATTGGAATGGGATGATCCTTTACCAAAGGAACTGGAACAGTTGTGGATAGATTTTATTTTAAATTTGAACAGTCTATCATCTGTTCGTATTCCTCGTTGTGTTTGTATAGCTAATCCCATTAATGTCGAGCTACATGCGTTTTCAGATGCATCTGAATCAGCATATGCATCATGCATGTACATGAGATCGATTGATGATGCAGGAAATATTTTAGTTAGATTACTATGTGCAAAAACCAAGGTCGCTCCACTTAAAGCTATTAGTATACCTCGATTAGAACTTTGCGGTGCATTATTATCAGCCCGGTTAAGTGCAAAGGTAATGAGTTCAATTCGACGTAAAATTACATCTATATATTTCTGGACAGATTCATCAATAGTTCTTGGGTGGTTACACTCGCAATCTCGCGACTTGAAAACATTCGTGTCCAATCGAGTATCGGAAATTCAGCAGCTAACACTTGCGCAATCTTGGAGACATGTGCCGAGTCAACTAAATCCAGCTGACTTAGCATCGCGTGGCTTGAATCCCAAACAAATTCAGAGGGTAAATTTATGGTGGGATGGTCCTGAATTTCTAAGGCAAGATGAAAGGGAATGGCCGCAAAACATTGCACTTCTAAGTGATTTACCTGAAAGAAAAAATCTAACTACTACTGCTAAAACATTAACAAACACTGTTACAACTACATACACACATACAAGTATTAATATTAATAAAGTCACACAAATTATTGATTTCAACAAGTATTCTAAATTTACAACTTTACAGAGAGTCATGGCTTATATACTAAGATATTTACATAACAGTAAATGTAAAATAGACAAACATACGGGACACTTAACTGTCGAAGAACTTAATTTAGCGATGAAAAGGTTAATTAAACTACATCAACAAGAATGTTTTGCTACTGAGATAAATATTTTAAAAATAAACAAAAACTTACCTTCTAAATCGCGACTGCTTTCTCTAAGTCCATTTCTAGACGATAACGGGTTCCTGCGTGTCGGTGGCCGTCTCCAAAATTCTTCTGAAATTTATACAAAAAGGCATCAAATTTTGCTTGACTGCAGTCACAATTTTACTAAACTTCTTTTTGCATATATGCATAAAAAGCATTTACATAGTGGACCACAATTATTATTAGCCAACATACGAAATGAATACTGGCCTCTGAAGGGTAGAATTTTGGCTCGTGGTACAATAAATAAATGTTCTGTATGCAGATTAATGAAAGCTAAATCTATAAATCCTTTAATGGGAAACTTACCAGCTTCAAGAGTTACTCCAAGTTATCCATTCGAAGTCAGCGGTGTAGATTTTGCCGGGCCGTTCTTGATCACAGACAGAAAGGGACGCGGTTGTAAAATATCGAAGAGCTATTTATGCTTATTTATTTGTTTTGCCACAAAGGCAATACATTTAGAAATCGCTAGCGATTTATCAACGGATGCATTTATTATGTGCCTTCGTCGGTTTATATCACGCAGAGGAAAACCGAATCAAATCTATTGTGACAACGGTACTAATTTTGTAATTTTGCAAATAATGAAATTAATAGTTTTCTAAATTCAGAACATGAAAACATCTCCACGTTTGGCGCTGATGAGGGCATTAAATTTAATTTCTCACCTGCATACTCTCCTCACTTTGGAGGTCTTTGGGAAGCCGGCGTAAAGGCGGCCAAATTTCATGCGGTCAGAATATTAGGTGATAGGCATTTGACGTTCCAGGAATTGTCGACTTTATTCACACAAATCGAAGCAATCCTAAATTCCCGACCTTTGACCCCTCTCTCATCCGATCCTACAGACTTAGAACCTTTAACTCCAGGGCACTTCCTAATTGGTAGAATGCTAACATCATTGCCATCTCCTAATTTGCAAGATATTAATCCAAACCGATTAAACCGGTACCAACTACTAGAACAATTGAAACAACACTTTTGGGGACGTTGGAGAAACGAATATTTGTGTGAATTGCAACAGAGGAATAAATGGAGAATAAATCAAGACAATCTAAAGGAAGGAGACATGGTTATCTTGAAGGAGCCTAATATTCCACCACTAAAATGGAGAGTTGGACGTATACATAAATTGTACCCTGGACGAGATGGAGTTGCTAGAGTGGCAGATATTAAAACTGCGAAAGGAATTTATCGGCGAAGCTTGCACCAAACCTGCCCACTACTTCACGAGGATGATAAAACAGATCTTCGAGCCTCTGAACCTTCAGTCATCGACCGGGGGGAGGATGTCTACGCACATAAGGAGAAATAAAGCACATAATGTTCTCCGTATAGCAACACCAGACAAGTCGTTGCTATTCACCCCGTGAATACCGGAGAGATGGAACATTCAAGTCTTTAAAAAAAAAAAAAAACTAATGGCTTTCAAGAGAGTAGGTAGATGTGTGTACACGGAACAGTTTTCAAGTTATTTTTATATAATATAAAATTTACAGTCTTAACTATTTGTATATCTATTCATTAATAAATATAATAAATCAAGAATAAAAATTTATTCACGCCTCGAAAAAGGGAAAAGATTGGTGATCGAAACAATATATATATATATATTTTATATATATTGTAGTTACAACATCCATACATATATAGGCCCAATAACAGGTATATTAACTATCAGTTATCCAGTATATAATATTGAAAAGGAAAACACGCTCGTAATGTATATATCTAACTGGTATAGACGATATTGCAATGAGTGGCAAATTAATATCCAGAACTTAATATATAGACATCTGATATTACCCATCTCTACTTGCAATTATATTTTTTCGAAATATATTAACATTTGACTTTGGTACTATCATTATAATATCTTACTCTGTATGCAGTATCTTTCTTCAATATCGGTTTGACAGGTACAGAAGGATATGTAATATCCATCGGCAATGGAATTTGTGATGGTACACTACTGTAAATAACATTTTCAGGAACCTGAAAGGACAATTTTATTAATAAATAATAACTTCAAAGAGTCATACTAAAGTTTCATTATTTATATCAGTTTAAATTTATATTATTTATTAGCTTAATGAACATTACAGGACTAGTGTTGTAAAACTGGTTTCATAATACTGCTAATGAAATTATCATCAACAGTTTCATATTTAAACGTCTAAAAACATAATGCACATATTCATTTTGTAAAACAAAAAATACTGCTCCACAAGTTTTTAGAATAAAACAATGTCACTATCTTGTAAATGTAACCAGAAACTTTGATACTTTTGATTTCACAATATTTTTTCACTGGTTTTTGTAACTTGAAATTAATTTCGTATAATTATTTTTATAAGACAATTGAATACTTACTTGTAATGTCGGTAAGGGAATATCATCGACTTGTACTGACTGTGCATGTTTTACTGATTCATAATATGAAATCAAATGCGCTCTCCTCTTCTCATATTCCATTTCTTGGCGTTTCAGTTCTACCCATTTCTCAGGGTCATCTTTATCCTGAAACAGAGAATAAATGTCTTGTATTACAATGGTAATAAATTGTAAAAAGTGTAAAATAATCATGTCAGCTACAGTTTACAAATGTAACTAACAAGTAGTAAGTATTAATATTTAAAGATTGGGTGAGGTACTGTTTCCATAAGTTTTCTAGTGAATCATAATGCTTCATCAGTGTGTTACAGGATTATACATATTTTGGAGCCCAATTAATCTGTTATTAACTACTGTTGTAACCATATTAATCTGGAACCTACACTATAATCTCACTATGATATTAATTTTAATAATTGCTATGTAAGCATATTTATAATATGCTCAATAAAATAGGGATACCATTAGTGTTATTAAATACTAACCACATACAACCTATTATATTTAGATGTATGTATAAATATTTGGCAATAACCAGAGAGAAAAATGCTAATTATATATCTTCATACATATATTTCATAATTCATTGATTTTGAAATAGGGGTGGTATAGAAATATCTAATAAAAATTAAAATAATACTTATTTGAGAACTAGAGATATTATTAATATTTCTGTTCATTTGTTTTAATTCACAAATAGACATGTGAAGTGAAGATTCTAAATCACAATCGTAGTTGACAAATTCCAAATTACTCCATTAGGGAATTGTAAGAATATTTTATTAAACATGATTTATACTTACATACATTTTGAGAACCCTGTCAAAGGTTTCTCTCAGCTTTTTTCGTTTCTCCTTTAGTACTTTCTCATTCAGTGGTGAAGGTTGCAATACATTGTACTCTAAAACAGAATGTCTTTCACTATTAAATAAGTAATAATTACTATATAACCATACCTATATTAAAGTTATTGAGTCAGTTATTATTTTATGTTTATATGTAGGTATAATAGGTGAAGTCCTCGCCTACTTTTCACTGATTTCAAAAGTTTATTTCTGTCTTAATTATCTCATTCACATAATAATTTCAAATAGACTATTGTAACTTATATTACCCAGACAATAATAAATATAGTTTTAATTAAAAAACAATTGAGAATCAATTTAGTAATTCTACAAACTAAACAAATTTTATCTTTTCATAATACTAAAATACATATGGATATAAATATAATTATAAGTTGCTGTTATTCAGCTAAAAAATTAATATTAAGAAACATAAATCCCTTAAAAAGTTAATTAATAAAAAAACAGGTACCCATTTCATCGATTTTCTGCAATTCCTCCAATATTTGTGTGGGATCTTTCATTTTAAGCACAGCTGCTCTTACCATTTGTCTTTGCCTTTTATTTTTCTTTAATTCTTTCTTCCTTGCTTCTTTTCCTGAGGGAATACAAATATAAAGAAATATAGGTAAGTACCACAGATAAGAATATATATAAAATTGTGTTTCTTACTAATATAACAAAATTGTATTTAGACAATGTTTGTACATAGAAGACATTTAGGGAAAATTAATATGATGGTCTATATAAGAGCAATAGATGCCAAAGCAATAATTTTCAGAAATTTTGTCTGTCTGGCAATATGTTTGTTCCCACATTACACAATAACTACTACACCAAATTCGATGTAATTTTCACAATTTTATTCTGGAAGAAACATAAAATCTGGTATATAGACGAAGTGACGGGCAAAAGTTAGTATGTATCAGTTACAAAGTCTGTTGTAAGATTATGTTTTGAATGTTATAAAAATAAACATGCAGCTACATTCCAGTTTAATACACCTGATACATCAACTGATGTACCAAGATTTACTGAACTTAGTGTCATAAGAATTGTTATCATGCAAGTGACATCTCTGATATCCCAAGTATTCATGAGCATGACAGTTGCTTAGTATATTGTAAGTATATTGCTATTTAAATGAAGACGAAGACAGGTCACTTAATCCATTGTGACAAATCCTCCAGGAGCCCTGCTGGTGTATTCCGATAGCATGGGAAGGGTTACCATTTCATTATCATCCATTAAAAAGGAATGGAAAGGAATTAACCGCAATAATTTCCAGGACGGACCATATGGAAGTCAACCTGACAGGGTTTATCGCTAGCAATAGCCTATAATCTCCATAACAAACAAACTCTTCCCCTCACTGGACTCTGTGGACTTTTATTAATGGGAGATAATAGAATGGTAACCCCACCTGCGCTATCGGTATACACTGGTGGGGTGGACTCTGTAGACTTGCAATAGACCACTACTTATGAGATTGTAAAAAAAACTCTTTCTGTTTCCATGGGTGTTGTAAGAGGCAACTAAGGGAGCTTAAAGGATGAGGAATGGGCAGTACCATCTATCTTAAAACATCACCAAAACCTAACTGTGATCGCCAACTACTGGTGAAACGTCTCCCCCACCCCGCACCTTTAATAGATTATTATGGTATATCTGATTTATCAGCTATAATGAAGCTTCTTTATAACCAGACAAAATTTATATTGAGTATTGTCTTCAAGACTCAGACTTAAAAGCAATCATTGCTGCAGATAAATGTTCTTGTCTATGCAAGCCCATATAGGAAAGGACTACTGATTGTTACTATTCAAGAGGTAGAAGTGCCCTAGAAACTATACATCGTGGGTATTGTAATATAAATTTTGAGATTGCGGATACATTTTGAGATTGCGGATACATTTTGTAAATTATGCATTTTCATAACACTAACAAAATGTATGGATTGGACAATGATCTAAGATGATTTGAGAAACTTTTAACTACCGGAGATCGGAGAACAACGGTCTAAAAAAATTTTAGTTTGAACAAAACATTACTTACTTGCTTGGTCTGTTGGATTCATGTATTTACCACTTTTAGTGGTATTAATTGATCGGCGCCCCATTTTTGTGTGTTAATCTTTTAGCTTCGTCGTATATATAAAGTAACAGCTGTTTAATTTATATTTTTTCTGGATTACGAATTAAAAATACAAACATTTAAACACACCATAAGATAGCTTCTTTATGATTGACTGATTGACTTATTGACAATATGACACTTGCTTTGTTGACAGCATTTGAATGTTTGTTGACAGCTACTATCCTTAATCTATGATCATAGGTGACTACGACGACATGTTAGTCATGTCCACTTAATCTAAGCTGTAAGAAAAAGCAAGTTTAATGTCTTTTAAGGTTCTGTACAAAAATCTCTAAATTATTCCAAGTGAAACATTATTATTATTATATTAAATTGTTTCAAATGTACATAATTTTTTTTTAATGTAATTTTTCATCTCAGCTTCCGACATGATAAATATAATAGAGAAAAAAATGCCTACACTATTTTCTCCAATATCTAAAGCATACTATTTATAGGTAATAAAACTAGGCACGTATATGTAAATATTACAAAATATAGGACAATATTTTTAGGGCTTTTAAAAGGTTATGATAAAACTTCAAAATCAATATATCCAGGTCTACCTTAGTTACGTCCTATTTTGAACCACAATTATGACCTGAAAGAAGGAAAACCAATCATTATCTAATATTGACAACTTATATAGAAACGAATTTAAAATTTAGTCGACTAAAACCATAAATTACAGAGACTATGTCAAAAAAGCAATTGCTAAACGACACTGGTTAAGTGAATTTGACACTTTTTTTTTTTTTTAGTACGTTTGTTCCGTTTGGAACAGGCTAAGGTCGGAGACCATGCTGCCTAGTCTTCAAAAAGATAATTTGTCTGGAATTTTATTTTTCTAATGTCGCTTCAATTATTGTCATAATCTTCAATATTTCATTTGTCAAATCCGGTAAGTACATTTTCATAAATATCTTTTCTTGAGTTTTCTTAAACCAGTGGATTTATCAAATTAAAAATAAATAATTATAAAAAATCATTGTCTTGCAATTCAATAAAAGTATTCTTATAGCTCCTTGAATGTTGTAGTAATATAAGTGAAAATAGCTTTGAAACAAGAAGGAAATCTTAAGAGAAGCGGGATTGAGTGCGGGATATTTTCGGGTTTTTTGAAGATAATCCTAAGTTCGTCAAACATAATGTGTCTTTGAATGACAAATTCAGAGCAATCAAAAAAAGGTGATGTAGAGATTGGGCTGTATTTGAGTTACACCATGTGCATGATGGGGAAGCGATCATGCCCATTCGGTGCAGGTGTTCGTTGAAATGTCCGTGGCCGATTCGTAATCTACAAATATTGGTGTAAAATTTTCTGTTTGTGTCCTTTCCTTTGCAGAACCACGGTTTTCCAATACGCCAATTAATTTTGCGGTACCATTTGCCTTTAGTCTGTAATATTTGAGTCCAATGCTCCTCCCATTTAGTTGTAACGATTTTATGTATTCCAATACTACAATCTGAGTAACAAAGGGATAAATCTTGAACACGAGCAGCACTTGAATTAATAATTTTAGCCAAAGTGTCTACTTGTTCATTCCCAAACACTCCAATATGTGAAGGGGTCCAGATGAAGATAATATCTTTTCCATATATAGTACAGAGATGATAATATTTATTACGAATTTCTTGAATTAAGTAGTTTGATGATGAAATGAATGTGTTATTTTTTAATGCCATAAGAACACTCATACTATCTGTAATTATAATCCATTTCGAATATAGTACCTGTTTTTCTATGTATTCTAATGCTAAAAATATAGCTTTTGCTTCTGCTGTGTAAATACTAGCCAAAGTTGAAATTTTATAACCGTGACCAAATCTATTTGACAAATCGTAAAAAGCCACTGAAGTGCTAAGTGCATTTTTGGAACCATCTGTATATATCTGCCTGTAGTCAATAAATTCTGATAAAGTCTCATACATATCGTGCTTTTCTTTTATGTCTTTACGTATAACAATTTTGATCTTACAGAACTTACTCTCATAAAGGCCATTATAACAAGGAAGTATCTTACTACTATAGATGTTATATTCATCTCGTAAATTCAAATCATTGACAATAGTTTTATTCAAAAACATAGAAATGGGGCAATTTAATAATTTGAGTATGAGTGGGTTATTGGAAACTGAAAAAGCTTTGAAGAGAAATTTGAGTTTTAGGTATTCGAAACGAAGAAGGATAGGAGGCAAATTACATTCTACTTGCATTGAGATAATTGGAGAAGTATACATAGCACCTAAAATAAGTCTTAAATTCATATTTTGAATTTTTTCGAGTTTTTCTACTAATTTATGTTCTGAGGCATAACAAAAGAAAGCGTAATCAAAATTACTTCTAACAAGAGATTTGTAAAGTAAAAGGATAATTTTAGGATCAGCTCCCCAGTTACGACCAATTACAGATCTTATTATATTAGTGGCTCTTAAAGCACGATCTACTAAGCAATCAACGTATAGATCCCATTTTAAATTTTGATGAAAAATTACCCCCAGAAATTTAACGCTACAGTCTGTTGGAAGAGTTTGATTATTATATATAATATTCATTAATGGAACATATTTATGAACTTGATGAAAAACAACTACTTTACTTTTGGTTAAACTAATATCGAGGGAAAGAAGAGAAAAATATTTCTCAAGTCTTTTTAATGACTCATTTAACACTAATTGCATATCAATAATATTCTTTCCTTTTATATAAATTAATAAATCATCGGCAAATTGCAAGTTGTTCACACTGTTTCCTAAAATTGAATTAAGTTTATAGATATATAAAATATATAGTAGCGGGCTTAGAATACCACCTTGACATACTCCTTTAGAGCTTAACCTAGGTCCTATTAATTTACTATTTACTTTAACATACACTTCTCTATTACTAAGAAAATTATAAATCCATTCGATAAGTTTCATTGGAAGAAATGAGGATAAAATCGAAGATAGAACTGTTAAATTTACATTGTTAAAAGCTCCTACGACATCTAAAAAAACAGATAGAACATATTCATCGTTATTCAAAGCAGTACTAAGGTCGACATAGAAGTTCGCTAAACTTTCGCGCGCTGAATATCCACGGCGAAAACCAAATTGATTCGATGGTAATATACTATTACTTTCAATAAAGAACTCTAAACGCTGTTTAATTAATTGTTCGAATAATTTGCCTGCACAGGACGTCAATGTTATAGGTCTATAGGAGTCGAAATTTGTAGGATCTTTACCGGGTTTAATTACTGGAATCAAACAATCCATTTTCCATTCTGGTGGGATAATACAGTCCTTCCATAAATCGTTAAAAATTTGTAAGAGTTTAGTAAGGTTTATTTTATTCAGCAATCGAAACATATTGTATGTTAAGCGATCAAGGCCACTAGCTGTATCTTTTCTAGATTTTACTGCAAATTTTGGGCATGAATTAACAGAATTAAACTGTTTGTCATCAAAAGATGAGTGTACAAAATCAGGAGTATATTTGCGTAAAAAATCATTGACCCATGATATATCTTTAAAATGATTTTGACGATGTTTTGAATTTAGTTTTCTCATATTTTGCCAAACAGTGGAAATTGGTGTTAATCTATTAAATTTGGAACAAAATTCCTGCCACCCCTGTTGTCTTACTTGCTTAATTACTAACTTTTTAACAGCTTGAACTCTTTTAAAATTTATGTAATTATCGAGAGTTGGATTTTGTTTAAACCTAAGGTAAGCCGCTTTACTATCATTGACAGCTGTCGCACACCTGTTATTCCACCAAGGTACTGCAATATGTTTGTGCCTCTTTGAAGTATTTGCACCGCTATTTGATAAGTTCCTACGTGGAACGGAACGTTCCACAGCTGTCAAAATAATTTTACAGAACCTATTGTAATTGTTTAAGGGTTCATTGACATCATACTCGAAATCCAAAAGTAATTGATTAACAGTTTCAGAATAAAGATCCCAATTAACGAGACGTAGGTTTATACGATTTAACAAAAGTTTATTAACTTCATCTATAGGAGCATGTTGTTCACCTGACGGAGTTGATGAAGAGTTCTTTGTGTTTATTTTAGTAAAAGTCGGCAGGTGATAACTTCCTAACGGATCATCATGAACCGACCACTCGCATTTTAATGATATGGATGGGGATACCATAGTTAAATCAAGGCCATTGGGTCTCCAAATATGAGAGCCAACAGTAGTAACTTGCTTATCATTTAATAGTACCAAATTACATTCATCTAAACAATCAAGAATGTCTTTACCTCTTGTATTAGTGGAGGTACAACCCCACATAGTATGATGTGCATTTAAATCTCCAGATATGATAGTGGGTTTAGGAAGAGACTCCAAAAAGAACTTAAATTTGGCTTTAGTAAAACTAGGTGTACTATTGGTAGGACAGTAAATACTGGCAACTGAATACCAAGAATTATTAACTTCAATACTAATAGCTATAGTTTGCAAAGAATTGTCGAAAAAAGAGTGAAGTTTTTTATATCTAATACTATTATGTATAATAATCGCTACTCCATTGTGGTTATTACCACAATCATTTCGTTCTATACAATAATCTTTAATTTTTAATTTGTAATGTGGTTTTAGCCAAGTTTCTGAGATGAGAGCAATGTGAATATGATGTTCATTTAAAAATTGTGTAAAAATATGTCGATTGCTCAGTAGGCTCTGAGCGTTCCACTGTATGATAGTTAATTGGTCTCGATTGAATTTTGTGAAATAGGTCTATTACCAAAAGTATCATATAACACATTCAAAACACTTTTAGTGTTAATAGATGTGTTCTTTGTGTTATGTAGTGAAATAAGTTTGATTATGCTTTCTATTAAAAGTGATAAACTCTTGTTATCAGAATTTAGAATTGAAATTAGGTCTACATTTTTTTTAGGTTTGTTACCCAGTTTAGGAAATATTTCAGTGCTAAGTACATCTCCAAAAGAAGCAGGTCTGAATTTAGATCTATTTTCAGCAATTTTCTTTTGTTTAACAGGGCATTGCGGTGATACACTTGTGTGATTTCCATTGCAGTGTACACAAATAGCGTTTTCCATTCCAGTTGTACAAGTTTTATAATTATGCTCACCTTTGCAGATGCTGCAACGCTCAGAATTCTTACAGAATTTAGCTAAATGTCCATACCTCAAGCACCGGTAGCATTGTTTAACTGGTGGTATATATGGAGTGACATTGTGGCGCCAACCTCCAATATCCAGATATTCAGGTAATACAGATGCAGCAAAAGTAATTGTCACGGTTAGAGTTGGCTGTAACACATATCCATGAGTCAAGGTATTTTTTCTTAAAATTCTTTTAATAGCAATAATTTTCTTAGAACTCGATATCATAGTATATATTTTTTTATTAGATATATTTGTAGGTACATTTCTAATAACGCCTGTAACTTCTGTTGAAGAAGCAGGAATACTGGCCTTAAAATGGTAGTCATTTAAAAAAGTTTTATTATTTAAAAAAGCATTGGCTAAGTCTGGCTTTTGAAAGTATACTCCGATTTTGAATTTATTTATAGATCTAAGATAAGTTACCCCTTTATTAAATCGTTTTAAACAGGAGGAGAGTGAGAGCAAGTCTCTGGATCCAATGGTTTTCTGACTATCTGAGGATTCTACAAAGACAACAAATTCTGTCCCAGGGGATTCCTCGGGATATCTTCTAATATAATCTGTGACGTAGTAAGGTTTATACTTATCGGCCTTATCAATTTCAGATTCTGAGTCAGTAGAAGTATCTTCCGAATATATATCCTTGTCATTACAAGGTTCATGGTCTACATCACCTGAATCGTCATCTTTTTTTTTCCTTTTTCTACAACTGCGCTTCCCCATGAATGCTAATTATATTACTGTCGCTGAATTTAGTGAGAATATAATATTTTATTCAATAATAAGAATTGATAGAGATAGTTTTAATAAATTAATAAAAAAAATTTAAAAAACCCGCTTGTTCTTATTCGAGTTTCCCGCCTTTTTTTCTTTGACACTTTTTTTAACTAAAACAAATCGCGCCATTTTATTAGTGTTGCAAGTAAATGAATTAAAAATTTCCAACAAAGTTCCAAATCAAATTGATTTTTAATTTGAATTTTGAAACATTTTCAGTATATAGTATGAATATACATATGCACATATTATTAATAAATTAATACACACATATTAATTAACATAGCGGTCACTGGGTCGGATTCTGAGACGTCATTTCTCTAATCCTATTTTCAAAATTAAAATTTCATTTCAACATTAAGGCGAAATTTTTATTCTAAGAACTAATATGAGTAGAAGTCTTGATAGATTAAAGTCAATATTATTACAAATTTAGTTATTGATAATCCACAAAACAGTAATTTCGCGAAACTATCACATTAAAATATTACATTAAGACAACTTTCGAGAACGTTTAAAATAATAGTCTCAGAGTCGACTCCAGTACTCATAAGTAATATAAATTTCTCCCATATACTTAATAACAACTATACATTCTGGTATCCAGATTTATGCACTTACGTATTAAAAAAATTACCTGTCTTAATTTTTTTACATGCCATCTGTAATTTTGTACAGAGACAATCCTTCTGTTTTCTATAAATTAATTTACAGACTATTTTTTTTAAATACGGGAAACTTGGCGAGTGAATTCCGCTTCCACTTATCTGATTTTATTTACCTGTTATTAATAGGTTTACCTCTAAGGTTTACCTATATAGTCTACCTACACAGATTTCTTTACTCTGGTAACCTACTGAAGGGTAATTTTTATAGTTTTTTAAATGTCTAATAATGGTTTTCGTAAAATTTTTATGTTAAATACAAAATTAAAGGTACACAGGTAAGTAAGCACCAACATAAAAAGTTCTAATATTATACCTACTAACATGCGATGGTTATGAGAGTGATGATTCATGGGTTTGTGTTTTGTGTTCATGGCCCCATGCGTAGCCAAATTGACTCATTTCATTTTTGCTAGAAATAAAACGTCTGGAAATTCTGGACTACCTACTTACTAAGATAATTATAGTAGAGTAGCCACGCACGCACGCATGTTTGAATAAATGTGTGTGGTTGTAGTTACCTACTCTTAACGAGTCAAGATTAGTTAATATTGTCAGGTCGACCTACACGCGGTGCCCTCCGCGAATCATATAAATCAACTGACTGCAGTGCTAACTAATTTCACGTGTTATCTAACACTTGAAAATAAGTAGTTCGATTTATAAACAACATTTTTATTTTTGTTTTTTTTATGCAACATTGTCCACCTGATGGAAAGCGGTAATCGTCGCCTATAGCCATAAACAGTACCATGAATATTCCGAGTATACTGTGTCGCCCATGAACTCTTCATGCGATATAGAACAAAATTATTGTTTTCAAAACAATAGATTTTGCTCAAAACCATTACTCGCCTTAGCACTTTACTTAAGTATTTAGGGATTTTGTTTCTGAAGTATATCGTTCATTTGAAAGGTATACTTTTTTCAATTAATGATAATGGAATGGTAACCCCGTCTGCGATAACGGTATACGCTGGCGGTGCACCAGAGAAGGATGAAAAGAATGAAAAGGTAGCTCAGTTAGCCCATCGTAATGAATACACCTGATATTCATCACGATGGTTTCCAGGGGGGACAACGTGAACACATTGCTAACAATCCTTTCCTTCCCAAAAGCACATGTGTCATTATGTAATTTTTAATTTAATCAAATATTTTGACCACTTCACCTTTTACGAATTCGAAGCAAACGGGGCGAAAGGGATTGTTAGTAACGGCGTCTAACTGACCCATTGCCAGTAATACACTCTATAAGGTCGATCTCCACGTGGTTCCCCCATGGAACCATCGTGGTTAATAATAGTGGAATTGGTTATGATGGGTATACTGACCTGCTTTCATTGTCATTATAGACATATGGTAAATTTCGTTTTATCTGTATTTATACAAGTATTGAAAATTATTAATACATACTTAAGTCACTACACGAAACAATTAAGTGTGAGGGATGATAGCAGTATGAAAGCAGGTCAGTTAGCACATGGTAACAAATTTTATAACTATTAACCACGATGGTTTCCTGCGTAAAGATCAACTTGATGGTGTATATTGCTAGCAATGGAACTATTAGACCCTAACAATCCCTTTCTCCCCTACTAGTAGGTAGATAGGTAAGGCACAGTTATAAGACTCCTTATTCTTATGGTTATAGCCTAGGTACCTACATTTTGGTATTTACTTATTGTTTTAGAGACGTATTTAGTAAAGATTGAAGGTATAACCTATTAGCTCAAGTTCAAACATTTGAATTTCGAATTCGTGATTCGATCACCTTTATTGCTTCGTGTTTCGGTGAATCGGTGGGCCTAAGCGGTAGACTTATAAAGTCATCGTTCACTGAACCACGTCAGAGGCCTTCGTGTACGGCTAAAGCGGCCATAAATGTTTTTCTATGCGACAATATGAATGTACTTAAAGAAACTGATAGGATAAGTAGGTAAATGGGTAGGTACTAGTAAACTATTACGTAAGTCTATTTCATCAGATTTCTTCAGGCATCTGGGACGAAATTTTGCAATGCTTTTACAGAAGACCCTAACAGAATACCGTTTGCGTCTAGTACCTCATTAATTACCTACCTATACACCAGTGAATCGCAATATTTTGCAGATAGCCTGTATTTACGTGAGACAGACGCTTCTATTTGTCTCGTATCACGTATACTACGCCATACGCACACTAATATAATTTTACGAGACATCCACTACTCACTCGTTTCATTCATGTACCGAAACTAGACTTCTCTTTCTATCTCATTCATTCTAACCGAATATATACGTGTGGGAAAGCAACAACAAATTGGATACTACGTAATAGCGTTTGTTGAACCGATTTGCTGCGCGTCGTCGGTCGAAGTCTCGCTCGTGCCGCCTCGTATTCGCTCCCTCGCGCAGTGTTGGAGAACGCGTTCGTCCGAGTCGTTCCGTTTTCGAGTGGCGACGTACGCTAGCCTAGCGTGTATGTCTTCATTATTGATGCAAAAGTTCCACGATGGTAGATAATAACGAGAAAATATTAGAGGAATTACAAAAGAAAAGTGGAAATAATGTGTGTGCCGACTGTGGAAGTGAAGGTATGTATTTTGTTGTTATTTTTAACTATTTTAGTGATAATGTTTTCCTTGTGAAGCGTGGTATTTCCATGGGGTGAATAGGCGGGGGGCGTAAGTGCGTCCATGCTTTAGAGTTCAGTGACCTCAGCGTAAAATGCATTCAATGAAAACAAATCATCGAGAAGAGCATTTGTGCATGCGATGATGATTGAAGAGTGCAGACGGAATGCGTATTAAAGATAGGTACATCATTAGTTTGTTCCGGTTGTGATACTGTGTACCTACCTACGCTAATTGAAAATTGATTTTGTGTGACCAATAGCATTCTACGACGCGACGAAGATGTTTATGTTTGTTTTGTAAAATATTTTACGCGCGCTGTTCTTTTCTTCATGAATGATTGTTTATTTACTTATCTATTACAAAATTATTTAACCTAGCTCCCTATTACAATGGTTATTTTTAATAGAAATAACTGTCTTCTTGTTTTATTGGCAGCAGGTAGGTAGGCAGGTACCTACCTACATCTGCTGCAGTTTAGATAACAATATGCGTTCTTATGAAGTAACAATAACATTTTGGGGTTCCGTTTGTAAAGCAGGTATAAGACGCCTGCCTTCAATTGTGACAAAATGACTCCTATAATGGCATAATAAAGTTGACCTCATTGCTAGTATAGCTACTTACTAATCTATCAGGTCGACCTCCACACGGTTTCTGGAAATCACCATGGTTAAATCCTGAGGTATTCATCATTACGAGCCAAATAGGTAATTTTATTTCAACTTCATTGGTAACCCAAATACCTTCCTAGGTATAAAAAGCTACATTTGAATTACGAACTTCCTTATTGAATTGGGTTGAAAATATACACCAATATTTTTTTTAAATAGTCTTCTAGGTAAGCAAATACCCATAAGTAACAATTTTGTATTTTTTGTTTAAAATTTGTAAGAAAAATCGTATTTAAAAATACAGTCATCAGTTGTCGGTTACTTCCGCTGTTTTCCGACCATTCATTTACTGGTTGTTAGTCGCCGTTACTACATTTTCAAGTATTTATCTTGATGTGTGGTAAATAGGTACGCTATTTTTACAGAAACTGTTATTTTTAACCAATTTCAATAACTAGAATATTCTAAATTTAAAATTTTATTCTTGTATAGGTAACTTACCTGTATCTTACGAGGTTCTAAGCCGATTTTAATAATTCTTTAGCAATCGATATAGCGATTATGGTCCTATATTACTTATGTTACGATTAAATTAGCTGTTTTTTTTTTCTGTGGGACAAAACCTTAAATTAATTAATAAAACAAGATAGTTTAGCGCAGGCGGGGTTACCATATCATTTTCACCCATAAAAAAAAAATCAAAATTGATTAGTACTATGGCCAAAAACTGAATTACTTGTTAGTTCTCCACCGTCTTTTCCTTTGGTCGAATACTGACAGGAATTTTTTAATAGGTCAATATCAATCATCCAATCTTCTACGGCTGTAAACAGGATTTTTTAAATTAGTTCTCGGCCACTTTTTAACATAGTTAAAAAAAAGAAGCTGGTTTGGGGTCGCCAACAGTAGGTATAGTAAATTTCTAATTGTCTTTATCTTTGAAAATATTATATAAATTTATGACCGTCAATTTGTTATGTGTTACAAACTTGTATCAAAGGACATGCATCAATGTGGGTTCAGTTATTGTACAAAAGATTGAGAAAATGCTAGCATTAGGGTCAATGTGCTGGTTTGCCGGTCATCATTGGTTCTCCGACATTTTCACTTAAAACTAGTATAGTCTTTCTAAAAGATGACAAAATTTCTTGTTTTTTTTTAATCTAATATTAATATGCCCCCCCCCCCCCCCCCTGTAGGCACCTAACTTGGCGACCAATGACAGTGTTAATAATTATTATAGTTAATGATATTAATAATTAAGAATCATATTTTTTTTTAATGATTGTAATTATTAGCATATGAAACAACTTTACCCTATGTGTATTTATAAGTATGCATAAACATTCACAAAAGTTAGTGAGAAGGCATATTTTCAGTCGTTAATAAAAATATTCCTAATAAGGTTTTTAACTAAATATTGTACATAAAGCCAAGAAGAAGTTTTTTTTTTTAAAAAGAAGTTCGATTAGTTTTTATATTAGTCATGTACTAGTATTACATGTCCTGTATTCAAAAATGGAAATAAGGTAACCTAATTTGCTGTAATATATTTTATATATCTTAGGTATATTATTCAGGATTACCATATAGGAGGGTTATTCATCCGGGAAAACTATGTTTACAAGTAGTTTATAAAATTAGTAGGAATTCGATTAGACATGTGCGTTTTTTGGAAAGTAGTTCAGATGCATAAATAAGTAAACAGTCACAAATATCTTGGGTTTCTGATTACATGTTTTACACTGTAGGTAGGTACTTACACTATAAGTATCTATTGGTTCAGTAGATTTATTTACATTTTTACGGTTACTGGATTAAATAAAGATACAAAGTCCGTTTTGAGGCAAATGGCAAACGCGATTTAGGTTTCGACAATGCGCCATACACGCTGTTGAAATGTACAGTAAAATTAGGTCACTCTCACTCACACGCCTAACCTACGTACTGTTTGAGTATTGATACTGGCAATACTCATATGACCTTACTATTGAAGGTTATTCAAAAATGATATATGACAGTTATTATACATAGGGCTTAAATATCTTTTCAGTTAAATAATCCTAAATAATCCTATTAACATCATAACTGAAATTTTGTACAGATATTTAGATGTTTGTGATTGAGAATCACGGGAAAATAATTGTACGAATTTGAAGTCCGAATTTGAACCATGATGATGATGATGATGAGGCCATCATATATATATACACATAGGAGAGTAAAGAGAGGCTTTGCATGGGATACACCTAGTAAATTAAATATTTTTTTTAGTACTGTAAATAGAATTTTTATGTACTTAATAAAGTTTAATTTCACACAAATAGGAAACCTTTCGAACGCCCGGAAACCGTTATCTCCCGTTTCCGTGGGAATTTCCATGGGAAATAGCCTGTACTTTATTATACAGGGATAGTATAGCTTTCTATCAGTGACAGAATTTTTAGTATCGCTTCATTAATTTCCGAGATTATAACATATGTATATGCTTAACATTTTGCTCTGCATAAAAAACTATTTCAATCGTAACACTATTATTGAACTAACATCAGTATTCTTTATTATTACAAAGAATTATCAAAACCTGTATATAATTACTAAATATATCGCGTAATATATATACAAAAAATTATAGACACTTTTTGAAGTCACTTACCAAAAAAAAAAATTCGAAGCTTACTAAGAAGATACTTGGGAAACTTTGTACAAAAGACTGCATATAGGTATTTTATTTCACTAGTGTTTCTATTGCTGAGTAATTGTACTCGGTGACTATGTTACGGTTTGAGGGAAGGATGGTATTACAGAATGCACTGTGATACCTAGGGCGTCTCACTGTGACCCTTCCTGGGGTCTAAGTTCAAGCGATTTCAAAAAGAATTATATAATATTTTTAAATGTTTATTATCAATTAAATGTTTATTAACTCTATGAGTTGTAAACCGATTTGGAAAAATCTTTTTTATATCTGATAGGATATACTTGTCAAATTGGTCCTATAGAAATTTTATCAAAATCAACCCACTAGTTTAGTTTTTAAATCAAAATAACTGCTTTTGCCAAAATTAAAGTCGATTTTTTATGGAACAATTTAATTATAGATGATTATGAATAGCAATCCCGCCTGCAGTACTAAGGTGTTATTCCTTCGTGACCTATATGTATATAGGTATGTATATGTAGGTTATATTATAATGGTAATGCCATATTCCACCCCTCAAACTAAAACATAGTAATGCAAGAACAGCTACTTGGCGTTAGCAACACGATTGGGACAGAGATACCCATGGGGTAGTCAAGCGAGTTACACAAAACATAAACCACCAATTAGTGTAATCTCTATCTGTTTCTTATGTTTATATAGTTTATTGAACCGGTTTGGATTGCTAACTTGAAGCTCAAGGATTCATTAATGCGAACAGTATAATAACCTTTAGCGACCCATTGTTGGGTCCAAACACGTGTCCCTCAAACATAGTCTTAAGAGGAGGATAGATATACTTTATTTATTAATTTCAATTAAGAAATCAAAGGCAATAATAAGTGCTCCATGTCGAGGTTTTCCCAAAAGACTACAGCATGGGGTTCTCTAAAAATGGGGTAAAGAATTGCTTTAGAATCGGCAACGCGCACGTAATGCTTCTGGTATTACAAGCGGTAATAGGCTACAGCAACTGCTTGTCATCAGGTAGGACGTATGCTTGTTTGCCAGCTCAGTGGTATAAAAAAGGCAGCTAAATAATCATAACGCAGATATAAGATAGGCAGCCTTATTTTTAATCTACTTTAAAATTTGTCGCTTAATCTTATTTTTCTTGTCAAGTATGTTAGGTATTATGGAAATAGCTTTGTATTTATCGGAAATATTTGACTTTCTATTACAAGTTATAGTTTCAAATTCCACTGCGTTAGTCGACGAAATCATTAGCATACCCACTGCATAATATAGACATTAGATTCTAAATATAACTGCAATTTTTTGTTCATACATTTATATCAGATGCAGCAACACAACACGGTATATTCTGTGATGACCGAACCGGTTTTCATGGTCGCCATCGATAAGAAATTTATCTCCATACTATTTAAAGTTTTAAAGGAATTTCCCACCTCAAACGGTCAGGTCGTGGAATGAGTTCACACTTGAATCTTTCCCAAAATGAAAGCATAGGGTTTTTCCAAAAGGGTCGATATCGTATACGTAGCGTGGTGCCGCAGGACCCTCTATAGACTAACCGATGACTATCAGGTCGATCGTATACTTGTTGGTACTATTATGTTTTTGATTTACATTTCTACATATATTTTTTCGAAAGATATTATTAGATGCATAAATATTGCATAGCT